CTTAAATGGCGAAGCTCGTAAAGCTCGATGCTATGGTGGCCAAGCTTGTAATATTTAGACCCTATTTGGTAAAATAGTTAGTCTATATATAGGTTAATTTTGACTTATTTGACCACTATTAGTTGTTTGATTTGCTTTAAAAATCAATATAAACGTTTGGTTAATTAGCTTTTCGTACTTCAAAATGCTAAAATTTAAAAAGCTACTCAAAACAACTTTTTTAATTAATTTTATTAGAAAAGAAATTATATCAAAAAGCTATTAGCTAACAGCTAATTTACAAAACACATTTTTACAGTCAACTAATTTTATCAACTAGTCATACTCTCAAATTAACTCAATTAGTTAACAGCTAACAGTCATTTACTAAACATGGCCATAGTCTAAAACTAAAAAGAACATGTTGCCAACATGGAGAACTTGTTTCGTGCAACTAGCAGCAAGACATGGTGATGTCCATCACTTGCATTATTTAGATTCTAAATTGTAAGATATATTTAATATAATATATCTATATAAATAGTGAAAGAGAGAAAGAGAGGAATAGGAAATTTACTAAAGAGTTAAATCTCAAAATGGTCCTTTGACTATAGCCTTTTTTCAAATTGGTTCCTTGACTTTTAATTGCAACCAAAGTGGTCCTCCGATTATTGAATTTTAAGCCAAAATGATCATATGTTAGTTTTGGTGTTAAGTGGATGTTTAAATGAGGGGTAAAATTGGCAATTCAATGTTTTAATATAGTCAAAAGACTACTTTTGGTACAATTAAAAGTCAAAGGACCAATTTGAACTATCTAGTTAATATTTTAAAATAAAATTTCATTTTTATGAACTATTTAATTAATATAATCTAAACGTTTCAATTGTGTATTATCGTATTTAAATTAATATAAATACTTAGAGTTGATCTAATTAAATTAAAAAGTATCTATGAATATGTCGTTCTCAAAAAAAAAACATATATATTTATAAGTATAATATTAATAGCGATGATATACATTTTTTTTTTGAATAAGCAATGATATACAATTTATTCCAACCATTTCATATTTTATTATAAATATTATTTTATCACGTTTTGAAGTTTTCTTTTTTATTTTTCGCCTCCACTGACCAACATTATTTTGTTCTGCCCCTATAAACTAATATGGTATTTTGTAATAGACAATGATTTTGTTTTATTATCTTTCTTATCTGTTTGTATTTAAGTGTTGTCTTTTTTTTTTTTTTTTTTTAATAAACAATGTTTTATGTCTGTTGTCCATTTGGTTGTAATTTTTCACAATAGTTTTGTCATTATATGTATGCCTATTTATGATCATAGAAAATCAAGATCCAAAATTCCAAATACATAATGTCAAACATTCCTGACTAATAAAGAGTTAATCCAAAATTAATGTTAGTTTATACAACTATATATAAGTACTAGGCTAATAATCACTTTTTTTTTCTAAGTTATTTAAAAAAAAAAAATTAGCTAACAATTAAAGTAAAAATAATATTGGTCAGTGGAGGCGAAAAAAAAAAACTTCAAAATGTGATAAAAGAATATTTATAATAAAATATAAAATGGTTGAAATAAATTATATATCATCGTTTTTAATATTATATTTATAAATACTTTTTAATTTAATTAGATCAACTCTAAGTATGTTATATTAATTTAAATACGATAATACACAATTGAAACTTTTAAATTATATTAACTAGATAGTTCATAAAAATGAAATTTTCCTTTAAAATATTAACTAGATAGTTCAAATTGGTCCTTTGACTTTTAATTGCACCCAAAATAGTCATTTGACTATAGTGAAAACTCTAAATTATCAATTTTACCCTTCAACACCAAAATTAACGGAGGACCATTTTGGCTTAAAATTCAATAGTCGGAGGACCACTTTGGGTGCCAAGTCTCAAACTGGTTATGCTAAGTTTTACCCCCAATGTCCCATATGAGGATGAATAAAGATTGTGTTGCCCGAACAAGTAATAGTTTTGTTAAGGGGAACCTTACAAAACATATTGCATGCACCTAAGTCCTTTTACACACATGAACTCCAGAAGAGTGGTAAAATTCTTGTTGAGAAAGTTTTCGCTAGTGAATAATCTTGCAGATATATATGTTCACTAAGTCTCTCCCTACACCCACTTTTGAGTAATATGTTTATAAAATTGGGATGCGTTGGCTAAGAAGATTGTTATCTTCAGGGGGAGCGACAACTCCTAGCTGTGCTAGAATGGGCAATCTAGAGGACTTTTGAAATCCTAAAGATTATGCTATGAAAGCATATGATTGTACTCTTTTTCCCTTAGCTAAGTTTTTTCCCACAGGGTTTTCTTAGGCTAAGGTTTTTAATGAGGCAATCGATGTTGGTGCACTTGAGTGGATAGTCCTGAAGACCTTTGAAATCTTGAAGATTATGCCCGGAAGGCTTATGGTTGTACTCTTTTCCTTAGCTAAGTTTTTTCCCATTGGGTTTTCTTAGGCTAAGGTTTTTAATGAGGCAACCGGTGCAACACAATGGTTTGACATACTTCGTGTACTCTTTTCCTCGTCTAGGTTTTTCCCACTGGGTTTTTCTAGCGAGGTTTTTAACGAGGCATGAGTATAGTTATTTAATGGCCAAGGGGGAGTGTTATAAATATTTTATTAGTGGCCATTAAACCATTAAACCTTTCAATAGCTTAGCCTTAAATCATGTATTGATGTTGAGTATGTGAAAGGTTGTATGAAACCTTATATAATAGAGTGAAGGCTAATGAAATGATACACACATGGTTGTGGCCTACATTTGGTGTTCTTCTTCTTCTTCTTCTTCTCCTGTTTCTCTCTTTACGTATACACACATACATATATACAAACCTCTGGGTGAATTACCTTGCAAACATCACTCGAGAACTAACAAATTGATAAGCCGAATTACAACAAGAATAGAATTTTAACGCAAAATTATTGTACGAATGTGAAAGTAGAAATCAATATATTTTATTAGGAAGAGAGATTTTTTAAGAATTGGGCGAGAAGTTAAAAATAATTACATATTCTTCAATTCTATATTCTTCTAGGATTTCTATTACCATCATTAATTATTCCATAATTTACCATAATTAAATAATTTGACAAATTATAAAGAAAGATTATTAAATAATGTCAGGGACAATTTTTTAATAAAAAATTTTAAAAATTCATTAATAAAATATAATGTTCTCATAGTTTTTTCTTAGAAACTATTTAATAAAGCATTTTTTTTAGAAATTGGTGGGCCAAATCGTCTACGGCAGTTTGCGGTGGATAGATCTCGAAAAAATACGCGATTTCAAAAAAATATTTGTCCGTAACGGACAACCGAGTCAAACGTTATGCCATGCCGAAGTTTTGAAACATTGCAACTTAAAAAAAAAAAAAAATTAATCGCTGGTTCACCCGGAGAGGTGGCCGCGGAAGAGGCCGATTCCGGCCTTCATCGCCGCGTCCAGCAATGCGATTTTTGCAACACTGATATATAGTATAGATATAGATTAGAATAGAATTTTAACACAGAATTATTGTACGAATGGGAAAGTAGAAAGTAATATATTTTATTAGGAAGAGAGATTTTTAGGAATTGTGCAGGATTTTGTTATTATATATAATATAAATATAGATTGATTGATTAGAATAGAACTGCTTTACACAATTTTATAATATTATAATAGAATTTTAACGCAGAATTATTGTACAAATGGGAAAGTAGAAATCAATATATTTTATTAGGAAGATAGATTTTTAGGAATTGGGCAGGATTTTGTTATTATATATAGTATAGATTTATTGATTACAATAGGAACTGTATTACACAATTTTATAATATTAGAATAGAATTTTAACGCAGAATTATTGTACAAATGGAAAAGTAGAAATCAATATATTTTATTAGGAAGAGAAATTTTTAGGAATTGGGCAGGATCTTGTTATTATATATAGTATAGATTGATTGATTACAATAGGAACTGCATTACACAATTTTATAATATTATAATAGAATTTTAACGCAGAATTATTGTACAAATGGGAAAGTAGAAATCAATATATTTTATTAGGAAGAGAGATTTTTAGGAATTGGGCAGGATTTTGTTATTATATATAGTATAGATTGATTGATTAGAATAGAACTGCATTACACAATTTTATAATATTAGAATAGAATTTTGAAGCAGAATTATTGTACAAATGGGAAAGTAGAAATCAATATATTTTATTAGGAAGAGAGATTTTTTAGGAATTGGGCCAGAAGTTAAAATTTCAGGATTTTGTTATTATATATAGTATAGATAGATAGATAGATTGATTACAATAGGAATTGTATTACAATATTTTATAATATTATAATAGAATTTTAACCCAGAATTATTGTACGAATGTTAAAAGTAGAAACCAATATATTTTATTAGGAAGAGAGATTTTTTAGGAATTGGGCGGGAAGTTAAAATTTCAGGATTTTGTTATTATAGATAGTATAGATAGATAGATATAGTATAGTATAAATTTATTTATTTAATGTTTTAATTAATTAAATTTTGAATTAAAAAATTATTAATTACACATCATAAATGAGGTTTGACCAAGGTGGTGCAAATAGCAATGTAATTATTGATCAAAAGATGGTGCAAATAGCAACACCCATATATTTAATGATACAAAGAATCCCAATCAAAATAAGAATCATAAATAGTGTGCCTTAAAATACAAATTCCTAAGGTATATTTTTTTTTTGGAAACAATTCCTAATGTATATAAACATCATAAGATTGATATCTATTTATGTACTACCGTGCTAATTAGGGTTTTAGATCCAATAAAGTCCAGCGCCGCCGCGCCGTAGCCCACAACCGACAATTGCAGCAGCGTCGAGGTACGTACGCAGTTTTTTCCGCAGCGCAAATCCTTAGAAGCTTTTAATTAGCATTCTATTCTCGATCGAATTTAATTTGCAGGAAACGTAACATTCAAGATCGAAGATGGACTACGCTTCAAAAAGATTGAAGAAGATGGACGACGCTACTCCAAGTTCATCAACTCCTGCTACTTCCATAGCTTCTCTTCCCCAAGAAATAATTCTCAAAATTCTCACCAGTCTTCCTCCCAAATCTGCATTCTCTTTCAGGTGCACTTCTAAATTCTTCCATTCTTCAATCCCTCAGCCGCACTTCAAGTTTAGAATCCTCTTCTCGTTTTCATTCGCAAACAATCCCACAAATCTCTACACTGTGGGCTACACTACTGAAGAGAGCCATGGAAGGCTCCAACCCAGCAGTCTCCCATGCTCAGCAGATGAATTGCAGCATTTTAAACGACGACTGCATGGTTCAAGCTTTGCAGATGGGAAGCTTTGTCTGTTCAACAGTAATGGAGGGATCAGTATCTTGGACCTTAGTACAAGACAATATATTTCTCTTCCCCAAACATTTGTCGAGCCAGGGGACCCGTGGGAAAAAATTATCTTTTTCGGTGCAGCCCTGAGTTTTGATCCGGTGTCAAAAAGGTACAAGGTTTGGAAGTCAGAATTATACCTTAATAATACTCACCACTATTCTTCCCAAGGTATGTTGAAGGTTTTAACTCTTGGGGTGGATGAATCATGGAGGGCGGTGACTACAGAAAACACCTTCCACCCTCGCAAGTCCAAGACCATTGCTTGTGTTCAAATTGATGGTATTATCTATTTGATAAATTTTAAGATAAATTACAGGAATGAACAAGAAATAGCTGTATTTGATATTGTGACCGAGAATTTAATTAGGGTGATACCTTTTCCCTATAGATTCCAACACCGTGTTTGGCCGAAGGCGTATTATTCATCATGGGTGAAATTAAATGGTCAACTAGCTTATATTTATGTTGATTTAATTGAAAGGACCCGAATATTTGTTTGTACTTTGGAGAAATCATTGGGACCGGTGTGGGACAAACATGAGGTTCCTCTTACCTTGGAAGCGGCAAAAATCATTAGCGAAGCTGAATTCGTAGGCATTACAACCAATAGTATTGGAGAAATTGTGTTCTTGATTCGAGTTGAGAGGATGCCTCCTTCAATTTTAATTTATGCATGTGGAACAAAAGTATGGAGAAAGTTTGAGATATGTGGACTTCCTAGTTATTCATCTTTTGTAAATTTGAGAAGGATTATTGTGCATGTTATAGAAGAGAAAGTATATTTTTCTGAATGAATTAGAAGATGGATCTTTAAGCAAAAGCATATTTATTGAGTTTGAATGAATTAGAATATTTAGTTTATTTTGATAATCTGCCCATCTTGTATTACTTTTATCGAAATGGATATAATGTATCTTAATTTTATATTATTGTTTTGTTGTGTTATTTAATTTCCTTGCCAAATGAAAAGTTGTGAATCTTACCACTACCATGAATCATTGAGCACATAATATTTTTTTTTTTTAAATTATTTCATGTTCTTGTAAATGCAAAATGAATTATGGAAATTAATTATTACCACGGTAAGTCTAGCCTAAGGCAAGGGTATTAAATGAAATCTAAATAATAACCATACGGATGGCAGGGGAAAATTATGTTGTGCAACCGTGCCCATCTTTCAAGGTGGACACAGTTCTAAAACTGTCATAATTGTGAATATAGAGTTCAAAAATTATGACATAGGGTTCTATAATTATAAACATAGAGTTCTATAATTATGAACATAGAGTTCTGTAATTGTGAATAGAGTTCAATAATTGTGAATATGAAGTTCAAAAATTATGAACATAGAATTTTATAATTATGAACAAAGAGTTTAGTAATTATGAACATAGAGTTCTGTAATTGTAAATATAGAGTTCAATAATTGTGAATATGAAGTTCAAAAATTATAAACATAGAAGTTTATAATTATGAACATAGAGTTCAATAATTATGAAAATAGAACCGTGTCCACCTTGACACGGTTCCACGTCATAACAATTGGATGGCGGGTTACCCGCCTAGAGAGAGAACTGAGCACGAAGCCCAAATGAGTAAGTTTTTACATTCGAAATTATTTGTTCAGTTTCAATTTTAAACATATCATTAATTGAATAGACACACTAGCTAATGTATATAATCGCGTCAACTTCCTACACAACTAAACAAAATGACGTCGTTTTGTGAGGCGCGGGTGGGACGCACAGTGCTATGTGCGCCGTGGTGCAGGGTATAACGATTGGTCATTTTGGCCCTTTCGAATATATTACTAAATGTACGGACAATTTATAGGCAGGGACGGAGTGTAGAATTTTCATTGAGTGGGGGCGAAAAACCGAAGGTAAAATGAAAAAGAAAAATAAATTCTATGAGTGGAGTTGTTTCTACCATTTTTTGGAGCTAGTTCATCAATACCATTCAATTATGAGAAAAAAAAATGATTGGATGACAACTTGACTAGCTAACATCAAAATGACTTACTGCTCGGGACCAATACCAGTCACAGTTTAAACCAAAAACTTTGTTTCTCACTAACACAACCAATGCATTCTAGTCATACACTCATACTATAACTATATGGGAAAAACTTGCCTGAATGTATCTAAAACCAGTCGTTATACCCTACACCACGGCGCACATAGCACTGTGCGCCGCGCGCCTCCCAAAACGACGTCGTTTTGGGAGGCGCGGTAGGAAGTTGCTGGGATTATGTGTATTTGTTCACACAATTATGTGTATTTGTTCATACAATTATGTGTATTTTTTCATACAGTTATGTACATTTTTTATACAATTATGTACATTCTTTTTATACAATTATGTACATTCGAATCAGAAAATTTGTGTGTATTATGTTAAAAGTTGATGTATATTATGTTAAAAGTTTATGTTTATTATGTATTATGTTAGATTATGTGTATTATCTTTTAAAAAGAGTATGTATATTTTGTTATATAATTATGTACATTCATGTATACAATTATGTGTATTCTAGTATAACATTATGTACATTTTTGAACAGCGAGTTTTTTTTAAAGAAAAAATTACTGCCATTCACTGGGGCGGGAAATTTCAAAAAAAAAAAAAAATTAAAACGACGTCGTTTTGCATCTGGGCGCACAGTGCAACGCGCGCCGTGGTGTAGGATATAAATTGCCATCTCAGTCTAAAACCTAGGATAAAATTTGCAAACATCATGCAAAAAAGCAACTTAACCATAAGCACTTAGCCCACAATCCTCTACATGATACTTAAAAACTTTTGTTCTAAAACTTGCAAATTCACAAAGCAGTTTTACTAAAACATGAAAATGCAAATAAGGCAAAGCATTATATTGTAATGAATTTCAACAAAACCAAAAAAAATAAATAAATAATAATAATAATAATAATAATAATAATAATAACGAATTAAGCATATTACTATTTGCAATTTAAAAATGCATTTTTACTCCGTTAAAATTCCACAAAAATGTAATGACCACAATAGAAGCATATCCCATAATAATAAAATATCAGATGTTCAGTTAATTAAATAATATAATATATGTCTCGTTTATCTGCAATTATCTTGAAAGAATCTATATGTAATATAATTTATGCAATTATGTTATTACTAAAATAAACATTGAAAAATAGGGGAAATAATTTAAAAAGACATTAAGCTATGAAAAAATTCGGAATCGAACTCAATTTTAATGTTGTTTTAAATTATCGGATTTAGAACTGTTTTGTTCCCATAACTGATTTAGGTAATTTTTTTATTGTAAAATAAAAATATTTCGAAGAAATTACACAATAGACTATAATTAAAAATACTTGGAATCAAAACATGAGGAATTTCGTTCATTACTATTAATATGTTTCAAAGGCAATTATTTTTACAATTAATTTATGGAAAAATCGCACTTTTGGTCCCTCAATTGTTCCCAGATATGCAATGTAGTCCCTCAATGTCAATTTTGCTAAATTGATCCCTCAAATGTTTCAATTGTAGCCAATGTAGCCCTCCGGTCAGATTTGTCACTAACTAGTGTTAAAACCATGGACGATTTGGTAATTTCACAACACTAAGTTTTACCCCCAACTTCCTTCTTCATCTCGCATTGGCTTTTTAGATTTTTCACTCACACCTGAATCCATGGTGATGGCAGCGCCGCCGTGGCCGCCGGCGACTGACGGCGGTCCGGCAGCCGGTCGGCTGTCGGAATCTACAAATTCTGAAAATGTTCCAGAAATGAATCTGATGGTGCAAAGGCAGCAGAGGAAGTCCAAATGGCTCCAACAACACTGGGAATGAGAATAGCGAAAATATTCAAAATCAAGTGTGATCTATCACAAAAAAACATATCAATTTACAAAAGAGGCACAGACAGAGGTAAATATCAATTTACATTCTGTAATTAATGAATTGAAGTAGGGGAAGCCAGTAGTAATATTAGAGAGACAGATAGGAAGAGATTAGCAGTAGACCCAGACACGCCTCTTGCAAAAAAATCATCACCGGAAGTGATAAACATGGAATGCGAACGTCGAAAATGGACTTGAGAATTGCTGGAATACATAGAACACCATGCGACCTTTCACCCCCGCATCCTTGATTCCAGAAAACCCAATCGAAAGACATTTTTTTTTGTTTGTAAAGTGGGTATAATATAATGAATGATAATAATAGTGTCGATTTTCCCTTGTTTGTCGGTTTGCCATAGACATTTTCCCTCTCCGGTCGCGCTGGTTTCTCTTTTCTATGGCGTTGTTGAATCCACAGTGAGGAGCTTGGGCGCTGCAATGAGAGATCGACGATGGCATCTTGATTTGGAGAAGATGGCGGCGACGAGGCTGGGCTCCCAGCAACGTCCGGCTGTGGCGCTAGTTTTTTTGTGGCACTGGTGCAAAGACGGATTAAGTTCAGAAAATTGGGTGTGAAAGCTAGGGCTATGTAAAATGAATTTGGGGGTAAATGGCGTGGGAGGAGAATGGGTGTAACTAAGGGTATTGCAAAATTACCAAAATGTCCATAGTATTAACTCTAATTTGAGACAAATTTGACCGGAGGACTATATTTGCTACAATTGAAACATTTGAGGGATCAATTTAGCAAAATTGACAATGAGAGACAATATTGCATATCTGGGAACTATTGAGGGACCAAAAGTGCGATTTTCCCTTAATTCATTAATGACCATAATAATTATTAGTGAATTATACTTATATATATATATATATATATATATATATATATATATATATATATATATATATATATATGTGTGTGTGTGTGTGTGTGTGTGTGTGTGTGTGTGTGTGTGTGTGTGTGTGTGTGCAATTATACTATTACACCTTAAGTTTAAAAATATATATAGAGATTATCATACAATTAAACTAATAATTACACCGAAGAAGGGATCAGATGAGAATAACCAAATTGATCGCAACCAAATTGGGGTATCATGCTCACATAACACATAGTAACACATAATAGCACATTGGGAAGGGGGAAAGCGTATAATCAACACCCGAACATGTGAATTCCCACCCAATACACCAAGAAAATCCTAACACGAAATTCATGATTCAACCTAGGGCTCTAAACATATTTAAATCAACAAGATCATAGTTCATCTTTAATATCAAGAAACATCAAGACTTATCAAGAATATCACACAATCATCAAGATCCTCTTATCATCATCAAGATTATCAATATCACACATAAAATCATCTCATCATTCATCACGGGTGAAATTAAATCGTTGATTAGCTTATATTTATGTTGATGTAAAAGTAATGAACCAAATATTTGTTTGTACTTTGGAGAAATCAATGGGACCGGGGTGGGTCAAACATGAGGTTCGTTTTACTTTGGAAGAGGCTAACATCATTAGCCAAGCTAAATCCTTGAGCCTATCAGCCAATAGTATTGGGAAAATTGTGTTCTTGATTCGAGCTACTAGTATGCCTCCTTCAGTTTTAATTTATGCATGTGGAACACAAGTATGGAGAAAGTTTGAGATATGTGGACTTCTTGGTTCTTTACCTTTTGAAATTTCGAGAAGGATTATTGTGCATGCTATCGAAGAGAAAGCATATTTTTTTGGAATGAATTAGAAGACGGATCGTCAAGGGAAATCATATATTTTTTTTGGAATGAATTAGAAGATAAACTTAAATTAAAGCTTCCGTATGTGTATGTTAGCCAAAGCCAAAGGGAAGTTAAAGTATATTATTGAGTCTGAATGATTTAGAATATTTAGT